CAACAACAACAACAACGAAAAAACCCAAGCTGAAGACGTTATGGTTCATAAAGCAAAAACGAACAGCAGACAACAACAACAGCAACAGCAACAACTACCAGAATGAATAACAACAGAACAACAACAGCAGGGGCAGAGAGAGCGAGAGAGACAGAGGAGAAAAAACGCGACCAAGCAACAGCCGCCCAAACATTGGAAAAACATCTGCTGCCTGCCACAGTTGATGAACTCGATTCGCTTTGCTCACCCCCTCAGCCGCTCTCTGGATCACAACCTCTCTGCTGTTGCTGTCTCTCTCTAACTTCGCTCTTGTGCATTTGTTGTCTTGCTTGCACAGCGTCTGTTGCGCAGGCGCGCATCCAAGTACCGAGAGTATCGAGTACCGAGAGCAGCAGCGAGTACAACTGACAGCAACTGCCGCTGCCGCTGCCTACTCCTCCACCTTCTATGCTGCCCCATCTCTCTCATCCATGTCTGTGGCTCCATTGCCTCTGCCCTCTGCCACTTCTGCCTGCTGCGCGTCAATGTTTTCCATTTATAATTCTCATGCCTCGCTGCAATGCCTCTTGCTCTGCACCTCCCCACTCGCCCCCTTCGACTCCTCTTCTGTCGCCCTCTCCTTCTCCCTCTCTCTGTGGCTGGCTCTGTGTCTTTTTTAATTTGGTTCACAAAATACCGCGCGTTGTTGTTGAAATTCTTTAGCAATCGCTCCGTTTCGTCTCAGTTACCCCTCGCGTCTCCTCAGCTCGTCCCCTCTCGCTCTTTATCGCTGCTGCTGCTCTACCACTTAAAGACTCGAGCTGCTGCTGCCGCTGCTGCTGCTGTTCCTGCAGCACCACCGTCTGGCAGTGCTCGTCGCTCGATTTTTGACAGGTGGTGCAGTTTGTATTCAATTTCTTTTGGGCCGTCGCCGGCGACGACTTTTGCTCTTGGGCTCTTGTTGAATTTTTTTCTTCCTCTTTATTTTGGGTACGTTTTCTTTACTTGGTGTTATTTTTTTTTTTTGGTTTCTTGTTGAATGTATTTTTGCCTATTCATAAAACAGCAAATGAGTTCAGACAGCAGCCCAGCGCAGACAGCTAACAAAAGATTACCCAGCCAACACACACGCACAGCTCATTCGAAGGATGCTGTACAGGCTCTGGGACTGGGCTCAATTTTTGAGCTCAGTTCAATGCACCTTAGCAAATTAGTTTTTATATGCCCAGCGCCATTATTT